GGAGACCTAGCTCCACAGCATCAGTTACCATGGAGAAGTCTCTGATTGCAGCTTCAGTAAAATGAAGATCTTTGGACAAAACAAGACTTTTGAAGAACCTGATCCACAGTTTTTACCTTTTTATAAACCAAACAATGAACAACTAATTCAGAAAATAATGACTTGATTGGTCAACAATAAGAATAAGTAAGTAGCTGTGGACAGGTTGCAGAAGCTGCACACTGTAGTACAGTTCTGTTACAGGCCATCAGCTAAATAACTAACTGTACTGGTCATTTCAAAAGGCTGACCATCACATTTGAGTCTGAGCAACGATGACAAAAGCCTGAAAACTCTTTTCTGAAGTATGTTGGACCTGACACATAAATATGGGAGTTCCTACAGTTACGTGAACATGCCGGCTTGTCTCTGCTGTCCGTGTTGTGTTGAACTGTGTTTGTGTGTAGATGCTGTTGAAGTCTCAGCCAGCTCATCCTGCTGCAGAAGGTGGAGACACTCAGGATGAAACCTACTACACCGACCTGCTGAAGATGAAGCTCAGCAACACCGTGTGAGTCCAGCTGCTGCTCCACAGATTACACATGAACAAGCTGCTGGTCTGATGACGGTAGACAACTCTGTTAGATCAAACGAAGACACACAGGAGCCCAGCCCAGGCTCACAGGTGATGGTGGAGCTGTGGTAGATGGATGTGGCCAGTTCGTCTGACAGCCGGTGTGTCTATCAGGTCACCTGTTCTATCGATCAGATCATTATCAGCTCATGTTAGGTGATGCTTCATTGACTGTTTGATGCTAACCACATTCAACTAACCAGCTAGTTTGTTCCATCAGTTAGTATACAAACAACTGAAATAGTGAAGAAACAGCTGAGCTGTGAGCAGCTGTAATTACAGCTACAGTCCACCAGGAGGTTCCAGCCGCCCTTTATCTGTTGGTTTGTTAGCAAAATAACTCTAAAAGTTATGTTCGGGTTTTCAGGAAACGATTGTAGCACAATGAACAGATGATTAACCTTTGGTGGTGGTTGGTGGTTCGATCCCCTCCACACGACTTTGTGTCCGAGTGTCACTGGGAAGACAGTGGACCTGAAGCTGCTCCCCATCAGGCAGCGCCGTGCACCACTGGTGCATGAATGTGTGTGAACGGGTCAATGAGAACCGTTATAAAGCGTTAGGGTTAGGTTTAGAGTCAGGTTTAGGTTTAGGGTCATGCTGGGGGAATAACTGAAAACTGTGTGTCTGCTGGTCCTCAGTAAGGAAGCCGAGCGTTTAGGCGACGAGCTGTCCCTGCAGAGGATGAAGTCTTTATCAGAGAGTCAGAGAGCTCTGGAGCTGGAGAGGAAGCTGTTCACGTCTGAACGGCTGCTCAAACAGGTACAACGTCACCTGGAAGACCAATCAGCATCCACAGCACCTGCTGCTAGCACTTTAATTGGTTAACGAACAGTTGATGAGTTACGTGGTGACTTTGTGGCTGCAGAGGAAACTGCAGCTTTGAACTTCATGTTTCTGTTTCCTGCTGCAGGCTCAGAGCGACAAGATCAAGCTGCAGCTGCGAGTAGAAGAGCTGCAGCACAAGTACGAACCCAAAGGTAACCAGACCAAAGCAGGCTAGGCTGGACTGAACCAGACCAAAGCAGGCTAGGCTGGACTGAACCAGACCAAAGTAGGCTAGACTAGACTGAACCAGACCAAAGTAGGCTAGACTGGACTGAACCAGACCAAAGTAGGCTAGACT